GGTAAAATGTTAACCAACTTCCTTGTCCCCACAAGTTTTGAAAAATCAGGATTACACTGTAAATAAACAAATAAAGCACTCAACAATAAAACTCTCTTGATCTTTTGCACTGTTAGAAGCCTCAAAAGGGTTGAACATGATAGTCTGACCTCAGATTATCTGCAGCCAGATAAAAAACCCACCACATAACCACAGGTCATCAATAATATTGCAATACATAATGGATGTCACATATTTCAATAATTATTTCCTAATATTTTTTACATGGAGATGGCGGCGGGGTTATTATACACAAACCAGTAACAAATAAGGTAGAGCTAGCTTTATATGAATTATGCATGAGGAATCAAACTCAACACATCAATTTTGAAAAATTGATGGAAATCAATTTTGCTCTTGACAAGATGTACCCCCAAAACACATATATAAGGTTGATCAGGAGCTCTGGGATGGGGAATTGTCTCTTTCTGCTTGCCCGGGGGTGGTGAATAGACCACCAAGAACGACAAAAAACTGCAAATGCCGAGGGGCTATGCCTGCGGTGGCTTGGCAACAGGTCAAATTGAACCAACAATATTAAATACGAAGTACTTCTTGGTTTGCAATCACATGACAAGGCGGCCTTGTTGAAGGTCAAAACAATATAATTTTTTCTCAAAGAATTTACATGAAAATAGAGTTTAGTTCCCAAAGGAGAGAAAGTAATGCTTTTGTTCTTCTTGACCACAAACACGGCCGCCGTGACGTGTATAAAATGTATAGAAGTCCTACATGATGCTTTATATTAGTAAAAGAGCGAATTCTCTTAGCAAATATATATTTAAAAATCATATAATTTTACCAAAAGTGAACTAAAGCTTTAAGTAATAAGTTACCTTTTCACAATATTTTTCACAGCCAACACGGATGTGACTTATTCACTATCACATGCACAAAAAGTAGATCTCGAAGCACGAACACAGTTCATTAATCAGCTACAATTGTTTGCTAGGCAATCTGCACATGTTAACCATGGAACTGAACATCTCTCGTTTTAGTTTTCTTTCGAACGTAATTGAACACTACGGTTCGATTTACCTTCAAAACCCAAGTGAAAGAAAACTGTACACTTCTGCATCGAATGGTCCCAGTGCCCGCTCGGTTGTCGACCTGCAAAATATTTCAACTGAGTCGAGGGATTATTTTAGCTTAATGTGGGGAATTTCAAAAAGGCTCTCTCTTTAGGAACCCTTGGAAAAGTCAAGAGTCACGATCACACAATTGTATCCTGATCTGCGATGGAAAAAATTAATTCAAAACGGGTTTCCTGAATCCCAAAGCAAACAAATTGACTTTCTGATACAAAACAGGTTATTTGGGAAATTCTGCAAATGCATACTGAAGGAATAGTTCATCGCCATCGCTGAGACTTGCTACTTTTTGTAAAAATTTACAGTCTTAAGAAAAGAAAAGAACAGACCTGTATTCTTCTCCACGTATAGACTGAGAGAAGACGTGATTCAATTCGGTGCAGAGATCAGCAGGGTGACAATAATCTATACAGAGGTCCTTGATTTGAGTGACGTGCCTCTTGTATAAAGGGCCTTGCAATACTCTGTTATATCTGAAACAAATAGTTGATCATGATTCACTCATATCAAAACAAATGACCAGCGTTTTTGTACATTTCTGGGAAAGAAATTATTCTAAAATGGAATAACAGGAATACAACTCTAATTTCTAAGAGCTGAAATATACACCTTGAAAATCACGCGATTTCAGCACCGCAGTTAGTACGGCTCCTTTGTCTTGTTTCTCTGTATTTCATCCTTAGAAATAAAGCAGTTTATATTGATTAAACTCCTGAGGACACGGCAGGACACGGATTGATGTGCTTTTGTCAGACGGAACTAGCTCTTGTTCTCGGTCGAGTTAGGAGTTCTTGAAAATGTACGTTTTCAAAAGGAACAGTGCCGTAGCGT